AGCATGCTTCTGCATATGTTTTTTGATTCGTCCTCCAAAAATCCGCCTGTAGGGGGACATGCCCGACCTAATCTTAGTTACCCACAGACCCGCTGCCTTGATTTAGGAAATATGGGGTCACCAGCAGTGACGGCCCTTTTCCCAAGGGCTGGCTTTTCATCCTGAGCGTTTTTGTTTGATCTGACCGAACAAAAGGGGGGGGATAGGGAACGCCCGCCGCTGGGCCCATTCCTCGAGACATGGGCGCCTGGGAGGCGCTGGGAACATCAGCTATGTATGTGAGCTGTTTCTCTACCCGACCCTTTGCTACCCCCCCTTTGGTTCCCCCCGCTTTGCGAGTCCCATGGCCCATGCTGGTCCACCGTCGGCCCCCCAAGGCCGAGGACGAGGGGACAACCAAAAACATCTGTGCCAGGAGGGACAACAATACACACAATTCATCGTCGACTCCCAGGACAATGTGGGGAAACGTAGGAAGGGTAGGGGGGAGAAAACACCCAGAAACTTTTTTGGAAAATATGGGGAAGCCTGTTAGTTGTGTGTATTTACTTGTGTGTCCCAGGGCCCCTTCATTGTGGCTCGATGCGTTGGAGGCCAGTGGTCGCACTCGCCGCCGTCGGAGGAGGTGGGGCGGGCTGTGGTCCGTCGGGCTGTCCTGCCAGGTTGGTCTCGGGCGTTGGGGTGCCCTCTGCGACGCCCCCCGCAGGACTACAACAAGATGGCCCCCGGGAGGGTGCACCGCGCCAGGGCAGGAGAAGCAGGGGCCGCAGGGAAGGGGCGGATGGACTGCGAGTGCCTCACGGCCGGCGCCGCCGACCCTGCAGGCGAAAAAAGCTCCCCCAGGACCCCCGCTGGCGACCCCCCCCCCGCCCCTGGACCCGCCGGGGCCGGGAGGGCGGTATTCTGACTCGTGGCCCTGCCCCCCCCCACCCACACCACCCTCCCCATCCCCCAGACCCCGCTGGCAGGGAAGGGACAAAGGGAAGGGACTCGTCTTACTTAGGACGTTCCTCTTCCTTGTTCCTCAATCTCCTTTGGGCTGACGACGACGACAGCGTCTCACACACGCCGAAGGGTCGGCGGTCTGACCTCCGCCCCAGCGGCTGCGCCGCACTCAGCAAACACACGATTGCACACATACCAGGCGGTTGGGCGGCAGAGCGAATGCAACAGACAAGCTGTGGAGCGACGTGGTCTGGAGACGAGGGGAGATTCGTGCCAAGTGAACATGGATGCATGGAATCGTTCCCGGAGTCCGAGATGAATGCACGGCTGTTCGGCTGTGGCAAGCACCTCGCGTGTCCGCGCGTGCGTTGTCCAAAAGGCTGCGCGAGCACCCACGTGGACCAACCGAGCCATTTGCGAGGCAAAGGCGAGGTGGCGAATCTGCGACTTGCACACAGTCTCTTCACGCTCTAGTGCGGGCCACGTTCGTTCACGGAAGGGTCTCGGGGCTCTGACGTCGTTTCTCAGGTTGCCTCCGTGCGTTCTTCGCATATTTGCGCAGTTCGGGCCCAAAGGAAGCTTCCATCTCCGTCGACTATACAGTAAGCACTTCATGTCAGAAATATGTGATCCAGCGGGGGGCCCAAGGATATGTTCTATTCCCAGGCGCCCTGTGCACACCCGTCTGAGTTTCTGCGAGGTTCAAGGTGATCATGGGCATTCCATATTTGATTGCAAGATTTACTGACGCACGTGACTAATGGATTGGCTGTCTCCCCATTTGCCTCGGCCATACAACTCTAAGACGTTGCAAGAAGGACCGCCTTGGGCTCGAGGAGGGGCAAGGCTCGCCGGGCCCTTCCTTAGATCTGAAAGAGCGTGTTCTACCGCTGCTGGCGGAAAACCGGGGGGGGTCACTACCGGTTCGAACCCCTCCCCCCCCCCCCTCCGGAAAACCGGGGGGGGTCACTACCGGTTCGAACCCCTCCCCCCCCCCCCCAGCTCATCATGAAAAGGGGGGGGGGTCACTACCGGTTCGAACCCCCCCCCCCCCCCTCGAAAACCGGGGGGGGTCACTACCGGTTCGAACCCCCCCCCCTCGAAAACCGAGTGGGGGTGCGGACAGTGGTGGGGACGGTGTTGGTGGGGACAGTGGTGAGGGGATAGCGGGACAGTGGTGGGGACAGTGGGACAGTGGGACAGTGGTGGGGACGGTAGTGGTGGGGACAGTGGTGGGGACAATGGTGGGAACAGGGGGGGACAGTGGACAGTGGTGGTGACGGTGGTGGTGGGGACAGTGGTGTGGGGACAATGGGAATGAGGTGGAAACAGTGGGACAGTGGAGGGTACAATGGTGGTGGGGACAGTGGTGAAGGCGGTGGCGAGGACGGCGGTGGGACAATGGGACAGAGGTACAGTGGGGACAGTGGTGGGGACAGTGGGGACAGTGGTGGGAACAGTGGGACAGCTCAGTGGGACAGCGGAGGAGTCAGTGGGACAGTGGGGACAGTGGGGATAGTCGGGCAGTGGTTGGGGCCGTGGAGACAGTGGGGAGAGTGGAACCGTGGTGGGAACAGTTCTGGGGACAGCGGGGACAGTGCGACAGTGGTGGGGCCACTGGTGGGGACAGTAGGGGCGGTGGTGGAACCAGTGGGGACAGCGGTGGTGAGGACAGTGGTGCTGGGAACACCAGTGGGGGATGTGATGCGGACGGTGGTTGGAGGGGTTCGAACCGGTAGTGACCCCCCCTTCCGGTGAGGGGGGGGGGGGGGGTTCGAACCGGTAGTGACCCCCCCCGGTTTTCGAGGGGGAGGGGGGGGGGGAGGGGGGGGGGGGAGGGTTAGGGGAGGGGGGGTTTTTGCCGGGGGAGGGGGGGGGGAGGGGGGGGGGGGGAGGGGTTCCAGCAGGGGGGGGGGGATTTTCGGAGGGGGGGGGGGGCGACCCCCAGGTTCCAGAGGAAAAGGTTGGCAATTTTCCACAGTATAGCGGCGGTGGATCACGCTCTCTCTTAGATCTAGATCCAGGTCGTTGAACCTACTCGTGGCCGAGGCTCGCCGTGGCCGGGAACGCCCCATTCGCTCCTTATTCAGCGTTCCTGCTGGCAGCCCCATGACTGTACAGTGCTGTTTTTAATGCATGCTCCGCGTGCGGATCATTTTTTTAAATGCAGGGATTTAGTATGACAAACAACGATGAGTTCATGCACAAATATATTCAGAAATGAATCATGTATCAAAATTCCTATATTTAGAAATCCCATGTATTAAACACTGCCCTGTACTCCTCATCGTTTCCTCTGCAGGCTGGCGGGGTAAGAGAAAGCTTACATAGCACAGCCAGTGGGAAGCCAGCGAGCGGTCGGTGAGCCATTTGCGCGCAGAAGGCACAGGGGCAACACCCGAAAGATGAGAGGTGGCGAAGTGCAAAGATGCTTGCTGGCATCGGTCTCAAGCAGTGATGTGTTTCATTTTTGATGTGCGCCCCATGTGGTGCATATTGGTTTACATGATGTTTGGTCAATTCGAGGTTGCTTACGCTTCGTTGTGGCAAACACTGATCCCGTCAGTTGTCCTGTCTAGACTGCCTTGTCCTGTTTTGCGTCACATATTGTCAGTTGTTATCCGTAAGGGCTTCGCCCCCTGCCGCCAGCCCCCTCTCTCGGATAATGGGCCATGCAAGAGCTAAATCATGAGACCTCGGCGCTGCCGTGAAGCAGCATCGGCAAGAGAAACGGAGATTCTGATGGTACTGTTGAACTCAGCGTTGCATTTTGAATCTGCCTCCGTTTGCTGTGCACTCAGGTTTCCCACATAATTTCGGACACGTGGCAAATCCCATTGGTTTTTCGACCCTGACTCTGCTGATCTGCGTGAGGGGTGCCGCCGAATTTCAGAAATGTGGCAAATCCCATATGTTATTCGACCTTGACCCCGCCGATCTGCGTGAGGGGTGCCGCCGAATTTCAGAAATGTAGCAACTTCCGTTGGTTTTTCGACCCTGACTCCGCCGCTATGCGTGAGGGGTGCCGCCGAAATTCAGAAATGTTGCGAATCTCATATGTTTTTGGACTCTGACCCCGCCGATCTGCGTGAGGGGTGCCGCCGAATTTTAGACATGTAGCAAATCCCATTGTTTTTCGACCCTGACTCAGCCGATCTGCGTGAGGGGTGCCGCCGAATTTTAGAAATGTGGAACATCCCGTTGGTTTTTCGACCCTGCCCCCGCCGATCTGCGTGAGGGGTGCCGCCAGATTTTAGACATGTAGCTAATCCCATAGGTTTTTGGACTCTGACCCCGCCGATTTGCGTGAGGGGTGCCGCCGAAATGTGGCGAAGCCCATTGTTTTTTCGACCCTGACCCCGCCGATCTCCGTGAGGGGTGCCGCCGAATTTCAGAAGTGTGGCAAGTCCCATTGGTTGCTCGAGCCTGACCCCGCCGATCTGCGCGAGGGGAGTCACTTTCGACCCCCCCGAGAAATTATGCGAACCCTCCCAGGAGATGCTAACCAGAGTGCTGTCCAGCTCCCCCCACTCGCGCGGTTGACAACAAGGAACAGTAAGCAGCATAAAAAGCAGCACTGTAGCAGTGGAAACTGGAAGCTGGAACTGGCGCCGGGAGCAGCAAACCCTGGTCCTGCAGCCTGGTGGCCCCACAAGGGGGCCGGCGGATCCCTCGACGTTGATCCTGGCCTTCTGGTTGACGCCTGATTCCCCGACGCCGTCTCTGCTCGTGCACAGCCTGTCGGCCCACATGGCGTTCTCTTTCGGCGCACGTGTGTCGGCTTGCAGGAACCTGTGGCTCGTCAGTGCGCTGCTGACTTGTGCTACAGTCGGGGCCCTGAAGAAGGAACCCTACTCGTTGGGGAGGGGCTCCGCGTTCCTTAAGTGTTTCGCAGCTTGCCTGCGGTTTTCCTTATGTTTTCGATCGGAAATCGAAGTTCAACTTATGGAAAAAAAGTGGCCTCGTTCCGTATTTAGGGTTCCTTCGGTCAACGCCCCGACTGTATGACCTTGCACACAACGATGCACGCACGAGTCGTGGCGGGTCCCGGGGAGGCCTCGCTGCGCCAGCGGTACCACTGGGGCTCCAGCGACCAGAGCCGCTAGTCCGCGGGGGTTGGAAAGCCATCCCCGGCAGCGTTCTGAGATGAGGAGGAGGAGGAGGAGGAGAAGGAGGACGAGGAGGAGGATGAGGAGGAGAAGGAGGACGAGGAGGAGGAGGAGGAGGATCCAGGAAGCATTCGCCGAATAAGAACAACAAGGAGGAGGAGGACGAGGAGGAGGACGAGGAGGAGGAGGACGAGGAGGAGGAGGAGGATCCAGGATGACGAACGGACAAGACGCACCCATACCCATAGGGGGGTCGTTGGGAGGAGGACTGGCTATGGGTATGGGTGCGGGTTGTCGGACCCTGGGGAACGCTCCCGTTCAAGCGGGGACCCCCATCCGACAACACGCACCCATAGCCCTCTCCGATCCCCCTATGGGTATGGGTGTGTGTTGTTGGTTCGTCACAGGAACTCAGGAAGCATTCGCCGAATCAGAACAACAACTGAAGCATAAACTTACACTTTCGGATTTCCGCGCGGATTTTTGGGATCTGCGCTTGGCCCCCCTGGCAGGGCCTCGGGCGCCGCCCCTGCCAGCTCCGCGCGCGAGGGCGGGGGGTCCAGCGCAGATCCAAGATATTTGCGCGGACCTCCCAAAGTTTTTGCGCATGCCGTTTTTGAGGGGTCTTCTTACTTGTGCACCACCGCCATGCTTAAGTCGGGCATGTCCGTCTACAGGAGGAATATTCAACAATAGTCAGAAAATAGCACGGGGACTCGTGTTTCATCATTGTTTGACGATAGTGGGGCATTTTTTGTCTATTTTTTGATTTTCCCCCAGAGTCCGTCTGTAGGAGGACAGGCCCGACCTAACGCCAGGCCTGCCCTGATCATGGGATACTGGAATTTCCAAGTCGTGACCGACGATATCGGTCGCTGCCGTTCTTTTTTGGTTCAAATTTCGGTACTGGTCGCGACCGACTTGCTTCAAGATCGGTCGCGACCGATCGGTCGCGACCGATCAGTCGCGATCGGTGGCGACCGGTCGCGACCGATTGTGGGATCGGTCGCGATCGGTTGCGACCAATTTGGAGTGCCGACCGGTCGCTACCAATCGCGACCAACAATTATCGATATCCAATGATCTGGGCATTCGGGATGGAAAACCGGTCCCGTGGAGTGGGCGGAGACCATCGGGGGTCGACATTGCGAATGAGTCATGGCGTCGGGGGTCTTTCACCACCAGCGGGCCAACCCCAGCGAGAAAATGTGCGCGATGCCTCCTCGAGCCAGAGATTGCACACGTCTCGAGCGGGGCGCAAACCAAAGCGAGCGCGACCGAAAAAATCGGTACCCGATGATCTGGGCTCCCCGGCGGTCCCCGGTCCCCGGCGGTTGCATGGGCTGAGCACGGCCCCTCCAGGCCGCGGCCAGGGGGGGGGGGCGAGCAAGCGGCCGTGCCAGGACCCCGGGCGGCCAGGATTACATCGGGCAGATCCCTGCACAGGAGGAATATTCAAAAATATGCCAAAAATGGTCAGGGGACGATCTCTCTATCATTTTTTAGGATTGAAAACATTTTTAAACGATTTTCATTTTTCGTCCCAAATCAGCCTGTAGGAGGACACGCCCGACCTGAGGCCAGGATCCGGCTGGGTGGTGGTGCTTGGGCTGCCTTCTCTCACCGGGCGCGTTCCACTGCTCGTAAAGTGCCTACCTGCAAGCGTCCCCCCGAAAACAGGTTTGCCTAGATGCAGTGGGTGGCTGACACCCCGCGGCGGGGGCATGCCGTCTGCGAGCAGTTCCTCTGCAAGTCGTGCGGCGCGCTTGTCTACACACCCTTCATTTCTAATTGTTTTATCCTGGGCCTCTTTCTGGCCACTAGGGGACCAGGAACAAGCAAAAACGAGCACAGTTAGAAATGAACGCGATTAGACATGAACGACGTCTATCTTTTACGGGCCTGAGAAGTCGCATCCGGTTCCATTTTGGCGCTGTCTGCGACGCTGGCGCCAGGGGGACCATGCCTTTGTCTCCCGGCAGTACCTAAACAAAGTTTTTGCAATGTTTGGATGGGCGTTGTCGTCCTTTGCCACTTTGTGGGGGTAGCAGACCTTCCCTAGAACATGTGGTGTCGCGAGGGGGTCTGTCAGACACTCAGTGTCGACTTTGCGATGTAATATTTGTCACACGTTTGCATGCGCATTCCTGCTTGGCTGAGCGCTGACAAGTTTCGTTCGTTTAAGAGAGTGCCGCGTTGGCGCGTGACTTTTGGCTGACCCGCGTTCGTGTAACAGTAAGGGTCGACGCGAAAAGGCGTTACTGTGCAATGCTGGCTGAAATACACGATATGTTGGGGAAGTATGTAGTTCGGTTCAGTACACTGCGTTCAAGAGTTTGGGGTTCCCCACCCCGGCCGTACAGTTCTGCACAAATCGAAGGTCAACCCGCGTACAACGCAGTGCTTTTCAAGTGTCTGCATTGATGTCCAATGAAAAATCAATGAGTACTCAAGGTGGGTCTTATTCATTCGCACATGTGGCTGTCGAAGCCAAGGCAAGGTCCGCATGGTGGTGCGAGAAACTTGGTGTCGGGGGCACTACAGTAACCATTTATCTTGTCCAACTCGTGTGCCCCACCCAATTGCCCCCCCCAACGTCACCGCGCGTATGTGATTCCGTCGTGTCCTTCGACAGGGTTGCGTTCGGCCACAGTGGAGGCTGCCGCCGTGGTCCCCAATTTGAGTGATGGGATTTGGTGTCGACCGCATTTCGGCCAGAGGTCGGTACGATTCAGAAAGTACGCGAGAGGCACGAGATTGTGCAGATAGCCAGGCGTTGAGAATCCACATATTCGTGGCCAGACTTGTGATCACCGCGTTGGACAAGGAATACGTTTCTTCAGGCGAACTAGCCCAACTACTTCCGCGAACAGAGGTTCCAACAGACGTAGCTCTCAATGTCCCTCATGCCATACTTTAATTTCGCAATGCTTCCAGGGCCTCCAGTTTTTCTTAGCCTCGTGGGAGTTCCTGCCCCTGTGTTCGTAACGATATTAGCCGATGCAGCTGTTTTGGTTCAGTCTTCATGTCTGCATGTGCAATTGCAAATTCTCAGGACGGCACATTGCAATTGCGTGCCTCCTCGGGCTTCAGTTTATTGGACTTCAGCCCGCCTTTTCCACGCTCGCACCGTTGTCGGGCACTGTTAGCTTGTCGACCGCTTTCCTCCGTGAGCCATGGGATGCAAAGGCTGGCGGGAATCATCGTGTCTCCCGGGTGCCGTGGCACTGATTTTTGGGCCAGCCCCCTCTGCAAACATAGTTTGGACATGGGGCTCGCCATTTTGGAGCTGCGCGGCCCCCGTTCGCGCCTGTCGTCCAAGATTGCGTTCGCCATGTTCCCGCGAACGGCCCCATGGCAGGCGCAACGGTGGACCTGCTGCTGGCGCGGATGCAAGAAAGACGGGGGCCACCTTCTAGTCCCGCAAGGATTGTGGGGCTCCCAAGTCTGGCGCCGCGCTTCCCTCTTCGACGTGGTCCTCTGGCAACGCGCTGGCCCTGTTTGACAAGCCTGAGAGGAGGCAAACTGGGGGGGGGGCAAGGGGGCGCAGCTGGGTGCTGAACCTGGATGTAGAGGGGAGGCTCACACGAGTCAGCCAACGCTGTTTCACGCGGGGCCATGGCAGCTCGCGGGCTTGCGCGAGAAACTCGGGGGTGCCCGGGGAGCTCGAGCGCTCAGGGCAACATTGGCTGCTTTGCCGCTTCCCACGCAGCAGCGCGATACTTTGCAAGAGCGGCTCAGTCGAGCCCATTTGAAAGCTCGCACGGCGGAGAAGTGGCCCGAGGCGTCTCGGAATTAGCATGGGCAGCTGGGGGCTCAGCTGGATGCCCAACGCGCGCGCGTCTAGCAGCTGCGGGCGGAACGCGTCGAAGCGGAATCCGAGAGTGGAGGTCTTGCGCGACGATTGCACGACGGGTTGCTGGCCGTTGGCCAGAGTGACATTTCTGTCGGGGCGCCGCAGGCTGGCGCGCAGCTCTCCATGGGGGGATTTGGACGAGCCCCGCTTCACCTCGGCTTGAGACTTGGACTTTGGGGGCCCCTTCGTCATGGAGGATGGGGGCGGCGCGTCCGCGGGGGACAAGACCGAGCCCGCTGCCGGCCAGGGTTGAACAGTTCAGGTCTGGCATCGCGGTTGTGACGAAGTCGGCTTTCGCAGAGACGCAGGGAAAGGCGGGCTCGCCCAGGCGGCGCGCGCCCGGCCGGCAGCAAGGACGTCGACCAAGCAGAGGCGCGCGGGGAGGGCCAGAGATGGATTTGCAGCAGGAGCGCCGTCGCAGCCAGCAGGCGCATCCCCGACTGCCGCGGCCGCGGCCGCGCCCTCCGAGCCCGTCCGGTGGGACATCTGCCCGCTGCTGGTCGGGCCGCTCCTGCTGCTGCTTCGACGGCAATTGCAGCCTCGTCGACGGCTCGCTCGCGCGCCGATAGGATTGCCGCCGCGAAATTTGTCGGGCGCCCCCCCCCCCCTCCCCGGAGCGCAGAAGTAATCCTGCGATCCTGGGTCCGCGGCCCTCGGGGCCCGCCGCCGCCGGGGCGACGGGCCGAAGTGCGGGCGCTAGCCCATCTCATGACCATCTACTGCGGCATCGACGGCGCGGGCGGCGCTATGGCGCAAGCGGGGCCCCCCCGCCCCTGCTTGCCGCCCCCCCCCCCCCCCCCCGAATGCTGCGCGGCTTCCGAGGTTGATCTCAAAAACGCGCAACTCTTCATCCTCATTCTGACGCGGACTGGCGCCCCATCGGGCCAGGCGCGATTTGCGCAGCAAGTCATCTGCTTAATGGCCGAGCGCCGATCCCTTTCGCGCTGCCTGCTGCCAGTTATCCAGCGATGTTGACGGGCGAGGCCGCCGTCGATCATCGCGTCTCCTGCGCCCGGCCCCCCGTTGATGAGCCATTGGCTTTCTCGCGCCAGTTCGAGTCGGAAGCTCCAATCTCGTCCAGGCCTTGAATTTGGCCTGCTTAGACAAGTTGAATTTGGTCTCAGAACTTCCAGCCGGGCC